CGCAGTCAAATAGAGGCAGAGATATTTTTCTTAACACGATTGTTCCCTGAAAACATGCATGTCCCAGTGTTTCTGAGAAAGCTTGACGTATTTTGTTTCCAATTGTTTATTTTTATCGTTTTTAACCTTTAACCTGTTGCCTCAACGCTCGAATTGTTTATCGTCATTTTCCAACTGTTTTCTGACTTGCTTTCTGGTATGGAGTCCAGTGGGGATTGGGCGGGTAGTGGGGTGGGACAGGACATGGGGAGATATATTCTAGGCAAAACAGTTTGGATCTGACTAATTATCAACCTGAACATGTACTAACCTGCACTTCCCCAGTGAATAAAAGACTGAGGCATCCAGAGAAAAACAGTGCCTGGGGCTGTTGGTTGAAACATTTTAGATTACTAAATGGAAACCGTCAGTGAGGCTAAAACACAAATGACAACAAAACAAAGGACTGCAACAAATTGAATACACGGTCATCGTATCGAAAATATATTTTTTGACAAGAATGCTACCTTCCTGCACAGTGTGGGACATTGCTATGCACACGTTGATTGCAGCTTTTGCCTACAAAACACACGGTCACAACATTTAGAGCACTTGCCTCACAAGCTGGAGGACCCAGGTTCGATTCCTGGGCAGGGCTAAACCTTAGGCAAATTTCCTAACTCCACACACTTCTGTTTACTTAGCAGTAAGTAGGAACCTGGTTGTTATTCGATTATCGGATCGCTTTTCAGGGTTAGTAATCCCCTTAAAAAAATGGTCACTCGATTCACAATTGTTTATGAGACACTGCTGTGCGCAATTGGCTGCCGTGTTTCGCCCACAAAATATCCAGCCAATTCACATTATAGTATATTCTTCGAAAGTGCTTTGAGATGTTTAGAAAATGTGATAGGTGCTATATCAAATGCAATTATTATTATTATTTCCCCGGATTGGGTTCAAACATTTAGAACCAAGTGCTGTAGCTTGTATTTAGGTGTGAGTTTTAACACCTTTGAACAAATATCAACAGTCTTTACACTGTCTTAGTCAATTAGTGTCTTGCTTCACCATTAATTTGGCTTGATAAAATTTTGAACCTAATTAGCCATTTACTTAAATCAGTGTGAGTGGCCTCCTGTTCTTAAGTTCTCTGAGGAACCAAACAGTAATGTAATAAGTGCTACACTGATGAAGAATGGCAGGCAGTACCAGAATTTAATGGCTTTTAAAATAACATTTAATAAGTTGGCAGGCGCAAAGAGCAACACTTCTGATGGAATTCTAAGAAGGACCTTCATCAGAGGCTCCAGAATTGAATTGCTCGTTGGACATTTCAATTTTTTTGTCACAGTGCTCGTTGATATCGACAAGCTGGACTGTTAATAACATGGTCAATGATGCTGCGAAACATTGCTTAGTATTTCGGGTTGTTCCTGATTGTGGCCTGTGGAGATAGTGGCACACATTCACCAGAGAGCTCTAAAGAGAATTCAAGCTGAACACACCTTATCATGTTCTTCATCATCAAACTGTCAGAAGGCTTCAATGATACTTCACTGTGATGTACAACCTTTTGCTGCTACAAGATCAATCAAAATGTATGTGGAGAGCTAAAGTTTTTTTTGATTTATTACAACGATCAGAGCCCAGCCATTGTCAACCCAAGATCTCAGCCAGTCACTCCACTCACCACACCATCAGATTCCAGTCACTCTAGATGCCCACATACTGGTCCATGTACACTTGTACATGCAAATGGACATTGAGCGAGTGCATGATTCTGCTGGGATGTGACGTTCTTCGTGGTCTAATACTCTCTCTAAAATCACAGTCAACGCTCACACCTCAAGAATGGTAATTTATAATAAGGTGAAGTTTGCATTTAATAGGGCACTTTATCACACGTTGAATAATACTAATAATAATCCTTACATTTGATATAGCGCCTTATCATGTTGTTGAGACGTTTCAAAGAGCTTCGCAGAATATTTTGTAGTGAATTGACGGTATATTTTGTGGGCCAAACGCAGCAGCCAATTGCACGCAGCACTGTCCCACAGGCAGTCATGGATTGAGTAACCAAATTATTTTTAGGGGATTGTTAACCCCAGAAAGCGATCCGCCATTCGACTAATACCCATGTTCCTCCCTACTGCTGGTAAACAGGTGTGTGAAAGGGTGTTTTTGTGTTTAAGGTCTCAAAGTGCTTCTCGGGTTTTACGGAGAAGTGCAGTGACTGTGTATTGGAGGTTATTAAGAGGCCTATAAGAATAACTGATGCTGAAAGTGGAAAATGTCAATATGTTCCACTTCAACATCAGAAGAACAAGTCTGTACCTAATCCTGTGCCTAAACGAGGAGGTCAAGCAAACAATAGCTGGCCATAATAAAAACGGATTGCATTCCCCAACGTGTATGTTCTATACCTTGATGGCCCAAAATCCATGCAACGTTTTGTATTCCAATACACTAAATAGGAATGAACCTGCACTACCTCAATTTACATATAGTACAAGGAAAGTGCAGTCTGAGCGGCATTGTATGAATGGCATTAAATGTCAGCGCAAATGACTGTACTTGCCCAACGATAACATTCATATTATTAATATTCATTTGCAGGTGAATGAATTAAAAAGCAAGACAAAACAGTCAGATATTATGATGCTAGTACATACATCTCTTCCTAGTAAAGCTCTGAAAGAAAAGTAATTGGATGGATAGAAATATATGATTACATTTGTCTATTATTTCTTTCTCCTGAAAGAGGTTCAACCTTTCAACTAAATTGAAATGCTCCTATTGTATTTTTGTTAAAAGGTCAGGTTATCTTTTTGTTATGTCGTTTCTTTATATGGAACTGTACTACGGGGAACAGCACAAACATACAAAACCAGAACCATAGCTTCAGTCAATTCAGCTTCTTCAGCGCTTCATATTGCACACGTTTGCTCATTATGGGATTGCTTTGCCCATAAACCTGAACAAATGAATTTTAAAAATAATGGATAGCTGGGGATAGGTTATAAAAGTGTGTATGACACGCACTTTGAGAGCGCACACTCCTCAGTGAATAATCCTTCAACTATACCTTGTCGTATTTATTTTGCAAAGTGGAGTATAGGTGCTGTACCTGAATTGCTTCAGTTTTAAGGGTCTACTAATTTGGTTAATGGGTCTTTTCAATATACAATATATCCAGTCCATCTGCTAAAAGTATTATTGAGAGCAATTACCAATTTTAGATGATTATTAAGAAAGAATAAAAAACATTTAATACTACCTGTGAAGCCCCAAATATTAAATCTTCCAAGCTTGCATCGTAAAAAAATAATTTACATAATGGAATGTTTTTGCTATTTTAAAGTGCTAATCGTTTCATATCTTTGTCACAAATGGTTATCTTAAAAACAAGCAGCAACTCACATTGCAATATCTGATCAGAGCAATTCAATCAGTATTCACAAGAGAAGTCAACAGCTGCTACCTAAATAAACCCAGATTCCTAAGAGCACATCATTTCAATTGTTGTAAATTTCATTAATATTCCAAATAAAGTAATTGTTTAATAATCAGAGTTTCTTTGCTGATGTGGTACCTGATATATAAAAAAAATCAAAGTGAGATGCTCTCAGTCCTCAAAGGAGTTCAAAGCAACTTGTGTCTCATACACATAAGATTTCACTTCAGGTAACCTTCAGTCCTGCTGTGTTGCCAGACATAACTCTTTTGTTTGACTTCAGACACACAGTCCAGACAATATTTTGAAAAGACACAGTCAGAATTTTTTCCCACAACATAATTCAAGACTTTATTGAAAAAGAAGAAAATAAACACAAAGAATTTGACAGAACTCCAAGCTAAACAGGAGATAAGAAAAAAAACAGTTCAATACAAGATTTCTAAACTTTACACATTAAACTTTGCATAGAATGAGAAGAATGAAAGAAAGGCATGTGGATAAAATGCAAAGGTTACTTCAACCTATTTCTGCCAAACAAGCTATTACAAAAGTTCCTCAGATATCCTACATATTGGACTATTACTGCTGTAAGGTTCGAATTTGTACATAACGGTGCTTCATGCCCAAGTCAATGGTGGAATTGTTATTGCCAGAAAAACACAGATCGAGTTTGGTTCAGAGAACGTTTTAGTTAAGCTAATGGACAGAAAAGTCATTTCCAGTCTGCATTGCAATCCAAATCCTTCCAATCCAACCCAACCCTTCCCCTCTATCCTCAGGAACTACACTAAATGTAGAAAAATGATTTTTTTCAGCAAGGAACCACTTACTCCTTGGTTGGAAGTTCCAATACCACTATTATAAACATCCACTTAAAGACACTTTATATACAATATGAATCCAAACAGATCCTCTCTGGGCTTTGCACTGAGGTCATTGAAATTTCTTGCAGTAATTTACTCTACTGTTTTGACTTATTCTAAATCAAAATCCACAAGTTACAATAGGGACAAATTGCACTGGGGTTGAACCCTTTTTAATCCGGTAGTTTTCTTATTAAACAAAAAAAAGCTCCTAAGTAAGCCCTTCGCAAAACAGATCTTCCCCATTCCAGTATCAAAAACACATTAAAATTGCAACATCCCTAAAACTCAAAGACTTAGCATTCCGGATCTCTAGACTCCTTTCCACTACCTCCGAGGACTTTCGCACAATTACCCTCAGTGAGGTGATGGACACCGTGCATTCACTTCGCTCCAACCTTCACAAGGAGCACCTAAGGACAGAGCGAAACCTCCGACACAGCGCGAGCCAACGAGGGAGACGCGACCCGGTCACTGCACCGCGCACATCGCCCACGGACCACACGGTCAATGCGCTTTACAGTCCATTCTGTGCAGCGCTTTGCGGCGTCGGGAAGCCGTGAAACGCGAGGATTATTATTATTGATCATCATCAGCATCACCATCGCAGTAAATCCTGCTCCGGAAACCTCAGGAGGTCGATAAGGCGCTGTATCAAGTGCAAGGACTATTATTGTAAAGGGGGGGAGGAGGGGGTTAAAAAGAGAGAGAGAGAGAGAGAGGGGGCAGAAAAGAAAAAAAATGCCCCAACTCTCAGAAGCAAACCCCACCCCATCGCTCTTGTACCCCTTCACTCTACATCATCATCAGCAGGAACTCCTCATAGTTGACCTGTTGGTCGCCGTCAGTGTCCGCCTGTCGGATCATGTCGGCCGCCTCGCGCGGGCTCAGCCTCTTGCCCAGGTTGGCCATCACGTGCCGGAGCTCGGTCGGGGTGATGAAGCCGTTGCCGTCGCGGTCGAGGACTCGGAAGGATTCCCGGATCTCGTTCACCCGCTCGTCGGCCTTCAGCTTCCGGGCCATCACCTCGAGGAACTCGGGCAGCTCCACGGTGCCGCTGCCGTCGGCGTCCAACCGCCGGACCATGGCCCGGAGCTCGGCCTCGCGGGGCGTCAGGCCCAGCGACTTCATCACCGCGCCCAGCTCGTCGGTGGTGATGATGCCGTCGCCGTCCTTGTCGAACAGGCGGAAGGCCCGGGTCAGCGCCGCCTGACTCTGCGGCTCCGGGTGCACGAGCTGCTCCGCCATCTCCCGCCCGCCCGCCCGCGCGCGCGCTTCCGAGTGAGGCTCGAGCTCCGGCCGCCGCCGCTACACCTGTCGCCTGGCCCCGCCCCCGCGCAGCGTCACCTAACAACCGGCCCCGCCCTCAGCTTCACCTAACAACCGGCCCCACCCCCCCCAGCCTCCCAGCGTCGCCCCGGCAACCAGGCACCATCCTCCTCAGCGTCGCCCGGCAACCAGGCACCTGCCCTTCTGCCCTTCTGAAGGTCACAGCTGGGGGTGGGGTGTTGGGGGTGTTGGGCTGTTGGGCTGTTGGGGGTGTTGGGGCTGTTGGGGCTGTTGGGCTGTTGGGGGTGTTGGGCTGTTGGGGGTGTTGGGCTGTTGGGGGTGTTGGGCTGTTGGGGGTTGGGCTGTTGGGGTGTTGGGCTGTTGGGGGTGTTGGGCTGTTGGGCTGTTGGGGGTGTTGGGCTGTTGGGGGTGTTGGGCTGTTGGGGGTGTTGGGCTGTTGGGGGTGTGGGGCGTGTGGGGGTGTGGGGCGTGTGGGGGTGTGGGGCCTGTGGGGTGTTGGGCTGTTGGGCTGGTTGGGCTGGTGGGGGTGTTGGGGGTGTTGGGGTGTTGGGGGTGTTGGGGGTGTTGGGGGTGTTGGGCGTGTTGGGCTGTTGGGGGTGGGGAGAGGAGAGCCGGGCAGAGGTGGACATCATAGATGCCAATGCTCAATTAGCCACGCAGCCCGTTGCCATTACCAAACATCGCTCTTCAGGCAATTAAAGATGGATTTCCTTTCTCCCTCCGAGCAATTAAGGCGAGAACGAGTATTCCGAGCTTTAAGTACTTGGGAGGCGTCATTGGCATTCCAAACCAAACATGAGCATCGATCCTGTGCTTAGCGAGTAAATGAAGAAGGAGCAATACATAAAACCGTTTGACTATAATGTTTAGTAAAGAGGAAATCGCTACAATACCCCAATTCACCAAGACAGACATCTACATCCGCACGGGGGTAATTGCAGGCCAATCTGAACGAGTTCTGTGAAAATTAAAACATGAATTTGTAGTTCAAGTTGATTAAAATTGCTTTCGCTGAGCTCAGGTTCAAACCCCTTCTCCAAATCATTCTCTTCAATGGCCTTTGTTCAACTCATCTTCGGCAGTCATCTAAATCCACACAACGGAGGCAATGCATTTATTCTGAATGTAGCTTTTCATTCCTGTTAATCGCCAGCAATTTGGTATAAAAGTAATTTGGCGCATAATTCAATCCGGTAGGTTTGGGCGCAGACGGTGGATTTTAATATTCATTGTGAATTCTGTTGGATTGCTCTTTCACAGTGGTGGTGGGTGAGTGGGTGGGGGGGGGGGAGAGAATTTCAGCACAGAGTCAGTTTATGGGGCAATTTGCTTTTCAAAAAGCACCTCCCAGAGATAATAATAATACTTGCATTTGATACAGCACCTTATCACGTTGTTGTTTACACAGAACTCTTATATTTATAACCATGATGACTTACATTCAGAGAACCCACATGCATGGTACCAAACATAAAAAAAAACAGTAAAGGCAAACAACAAAGAGGTGAGGGCAGAGATCAGGTGAAGAGGAGAACACAGCCCAATGATTTCATGTTGCGATTAAAACCCTGTGAACCCTTTAGCTGCACATTGATCGCTATTCTAATGTGGTTATGGGTCACTGCTTCACTCTGGGAAAATTCTGTCGTGAATATAGTACATGCTTGTAATCAAACGGATTCCCATAACCCTGGCTTTTTACAGTATGAATTTCCAACTGCTATCTTAACTGGGTCAGTTCCAGTGGTGCTTATTCAGACAAGAGCCCAGACCTTTCAAATGTACCTATACGGATGAATGCATACAAGTGATATTCATGTACTGTAGAGTGGGAAAATGTCTCATTGATCTCGCTCTTCAATTCCAAAAATGTAGGAACACAGTGGTTATGTGGACAACAGTGATGCATGCACCTGTCTGGTGAAAGTGATATTGTAATCAAAATGAACGCAGTTTTGAGAAACAAATTTTTCTTCAGTGAACAAGAGCAGAAATTCCTCTATTTCTGCTGAAGACTGAAGAAATCTAAGCCTGCTTATATTCACGTCAATTTGAAAATGTCCTCATTTATTTTCAATGAAAATAAATTCACCTCAGCGAGGCTGCAATCATGACAAAGTTCTGTGTCTTGCAGTTATCCCTTTTGATATTTTTGGAGTTCTCTCCATTCCAAAACTGCACACAATATTCCAAGTGATGCCTTTTTAATACTTATACAAGTTTAGGACAACATTTTACAATTTATAGGCAAATGGCCTCAAGATGCATTGCGGTACTCAATCAACTTTGCTGACATCAGCTTAAACATTGACTGAAGATCTTCAGTGAATGATCAATAACCAAACTCAACAAAAATAAAGTTCCTGCCAGTGAGAAAGAGATGTAATATTTCAAATAAAGCAACAGGGAACTTTTAGGCAGGGTCAGGATCATCATGAAAATAAATAGCTTGCCAGTCAAAAATTCTTGGGCAGCTGATTTCATTCACGTATCCACCATTCTTTCATACAAATACAATTTTGTTCCAAAGTCCATTTTTCTCAAGGGAAATTATCTGCATACACCTTCAAGATTATCTTTGTTGTGAGTCAATGGGCAAGTCAACACCCTGTTTCCACACCTCTACCAATCTTTCCTGACTTATAGAAGGCATGGAACACAACCTTAATATTACATCCAATGCTAAATTTTCTTCCTGCCCATTAGAGTTGCATCATCCTCTGCCCTGGTCTAGAGCTGATGTGGAGCAGGAGATATTTTTGTTCAACACATACAGATACCCATTATTACACTTGGAGTATCCAAACCAGACTGCAAGTTCTACGTATTAGAAATTCCTAAGTTTGGAATAAACTGTACTCGGGTTCTCTCCACAGAATGACGCACCCTGTTAACCCAATTCTGAAGGGATGCAGGTTAGCAACAGCCAAAGCTTGGGGACCCAAGAGTATAATAATAATAATAATAATCCTTGCATTTGATATAGCGCTTTTCACGTCAGGAGGATGTCTCAAAGCGCTTCACAGAACACACTGTAAAGTGAATTGACTGTATATTTGTGGGCGAACGCGGCAGCCAATTGCGCACAGGAATGTCCCACAAACAGTCGTAGATTGAAAATGACCAATTTATTATTATTTTGGGTTTTGGAGGGATTATTATTAGGCTCTGTGTGGAGTAAGGAAACTTGCCCAAGGTTTCGCCCTCTGCCTGGAATTGAACTCAGGTCTCTCGCTTGCAAAGCGAGTGCTCTAACCACTGAGCTACAGGACTCCACGCAGTATGCAGTTTAGGCAGGTTAAACAACATAGTTTGCCATTGAAAGCACTGTCTGACAAGCTTCCCACTGTTTGTCCAGCTAGGACCACTCTATACCCATTAAAACTTTGGCATGCAGGGTTTGAGAGCTGGCACAGGAAATCAAGCATGCATTCACTGCAAAGTGCTTAACAATACCATTCAATGCTCAGTACCAGCCTTTTTTTTAATGATTAGAAAAAAACTGGCAAAAAGAATTTTTTTTAAAAAAAAAACCAAAAATCAAAGTACAACAAAGTGGCAGATTTGTGATCAAAAACCCAATTATTTTCACAGTATTAAAAAAAAGTCATTTTGCAAACAGCCACTACAATCATGAATAATTTTGCGCCACGAAAATTATCCTTAAATTGGAAGTTAAGTAAAGTCAGAAATCATTATTTTTAGGTCCAAACGTTAGTGAAATTTTAATGTTGGAAACATTCCTGGATTGAATATTTATTGATTTAGAAATGCAATTTGAAATAGCGCAACACAATTTGAAGTTGCCATTGTCAAGGGATTTTCTATTCCTACTGGACAGAAGGCTCCAGTAAATGTGTGTGTGCCTCAGCATAAGCTGGCCTCAGTCCAGCTTGCTGAAGCAATCTGCACATGGACTACTTGCTATCTGAGGTTGAGCTTTAAACCGTACACAGTGGGACACAATCTACTTCACTATTTACTGCCGCGTCTGCAGACTTCATTTGCTCACGTTATTCTCTCGCTGAATGCCTCATCTTTTCCATCCAGATGGTGATGTGTTTTTTTTTGTTAAAAGATGTGGGTGACACTGGCATTATGCCAGCATTGATGGCACATCCCTATGTTCCCTGAGAGGGTGGTGGTAAATGCATTCTCTTCAAATGCTGCAGTCCTTGCAGTGATAATGCTCCCGTGATGATGGTAGGTAGGAAGTTCCAGGATTTTTGCCTCAGGAGAACAAAGGAGCGCCATGTATGTCCATGTTGCCACTTACAAAAGGAAAGAGCAATATTTTCTTCTTCCCCTACCAGCCAATGTTAGAATGGGATCATGTAACGTACAACAGACATATAATGAATGGATCAAAAAGGAAATGACAGGACTAGCAGCAGACTGATGATACTTGGTCAATAGTCTGCCGTCAAAGCAAAGGGTAAATGGGATTTTCTAAAAATGAGATTGATGCACGTGAAACTTTGCTAGGCTTTTAAGAATCACTATATGCACAGTTAACAAAGCTTTCACTGCAAAAAGAATGAGCATCAATTTATTTTTAGCAGAGCCAAAAATAACTGCCTGTATTGAAGACCAATTGGATTCAAAATGTCTCTCAGTACAGTTGCATTAACAGACATTGTTACAGTGTCTACATATGATTTAGCTTTGCATATTTTATGGTGAGATTTTGTGCTCGTCAAGTCAAAGGCTGTTGATTGTGGGGAATGGAAACAATTTTGTCCTCTCATCAACAACTGATGATAGAGATTATATCGAGTTTCGATGCAGATCCAGTAAAACTCCCTGGTTCATCAATATATTTTAACCTGACATATAATTGTGTCAGTGATTTTTTTTCCACTCTAGCATCAACCATTCTGTAGCTTCTCCAAATGAGATTGCTGATTTGTGACTCACACTGTGTTGTTGGCTCATGCATGGTAGGAACTGGGTTAAGGATATCCATA